TCCTCCGTCAGTTCCACTGGCTCCCCATTGAAGTCCGGGCCCAATTCAAGGTGTTGGTTATGACCAATAAAGCCCTGAACGGCTTGGGTCCTGGTTACCTGAAGAAGCGCTTACGTCCATATATGCCCGCCTGCCCCTTGAGATCAGTGGGAGAGGCCCTTCTCCGGGAACCCTCCGTGAAGGATATTAGGAGGGTAAGTACCCGGAGGAGGGCTTTCTCTGCGGTGGTGCCCAATCTATGGAATGCGCTCCCCAGAGAGGTCCGCCTGGTGCCGTCGTTATTTGTTTTTCAGCGCCAGGCGAAGACCTTTTTATTTAAATGTCATTTTAATTGCTATTATTATTTATTTATTTTACATCTTTGGCCAGGTTGTCTCAAATTATATTGTTTTTATATTATTATTTATTTATTGTTGTGAGCCGCCCCGAGGCTTCGGCGAATGGGACGGCATAGAAGCTTCCTAATAAATAAATATTTATGCAACAAATGCTAAGTAATATGTTATGAGGCACTCTATTAGCAAACTCTTTTGTTTGTGCAAGCAAAAGAGCATAATATGGCAAGCAAGGGGCTACTAAAAGGTTAAAAAGACCACTGTGTTAACCCGCTGGAATATGAGATGCTTCTGACACATGCTAGACCTTTGTTGGGAGCTACTGGTTAAAAATTTCAATATACATGTGTTTTAGAAAATAGAAATAGGAAAGGCTTCTTTTAGTCCACTTTGCTAATTAATATGTCAAAGCTCGTAAAGAAGGCCTCATCAGCTTTTCTCCAGTACTGCATCATTTTAAAGAGCTGTGTCAGCAGAGACCTCAGCAGACAGTCAATACATATTAAGAGAGTCCCAAGCATTAAATCAAAACAAAAAAGGGAGCCATATGAAAAATGAAAATAAAGCAAATAGCCGTGAGGCTAATGGAATTCCATTTGTGACTTTGCATAAAAGTAGGGAGGGAAAGAGGGTAGTATTTTTTCCAATAAAAACAAGAACATGTACATAAATCATCCCAATTTATTCCCCTATAACTGGGGTAAAATACAACAGCTAGCTACAAATTTATACCTGGGTAAATCTAGATGGCGATCTAATGTGCATTAGTGGTAAGGATGCTATACCACTATTACCACTTCCTTCCATCAGGTTTGAAATGCTGCCCATGAAACCACAGTTGGTGGAAAAACTGCAAGAGCAAACTCATCTCTGGCATAGCACAGCTGCTGCTCAGTAACCTCACTCCCATCACAGCACTAAGCTAAATTTATTTATGCTTTATTTATTTTATTTGTGCCCTGCCTTTCTACTCAGAAAATGACACCGAAGGCAGTTTACAGATTAAATTCTCAGCGGGTAAGTTTGCACCAAGAGTAAGCCAACAGGGGTTTACTCACTAACCCAACAGACAGTCAGCTGTTCTGCAGCTTGCTATGACTTTTCTCCCATTCTGCCCCTCTCTGTCCTCCCATGAGCTCCCAGCAAGTATTCCAGGAGACTTTCAAACAGAACTCTTTATTTCCTCATTCTCTATTTTGTCAACCTTTCTACAATCGGTCTGGTGGGGGTGCTGGCTCCTGCGAGAAGCTCCTCCTCCATTCAGAACACTTGCGATCACAGCAATGCAGTCACAGCCATGTCTGTTGGGTGTTGCACCAGCACATAAGACTACTTCTCTAGTATTTCAACAAGCATGCCTATTTCCCCTTCTGTCATTCCATCTATCGCTTTAGCACTTTCTTCACTTGCAAGCACCCATTTTAAAAAGTCACTTTAAAGAGCAACCACATCCATCCCTAAATCTCCTTCTTGGGTAGCCACCAACTATTTCACACACACACCTGCATGCCCTCTGCTTCCTTCCACTGGTCTCCTTTGTGAGTCAGCAAGGCAGATTCTAAACATTGATGATCCCATGGCAGAGCAAAATAGCTAAGGGAAAAATTACGGAAATTCCATGGTAGTGCAGTAAGGCAAACAGTTTAAAATATGTAAATTTCATAGCAGTAGACTTGCACAAGACCAAGAAATTTAAAAAGGTTGTGAATGTCTTTGGGACACTCTCCCGTATCACTTATTCTCAATATATAGGAGCATGACATGAAAGGCAGTACCAAGGGGAGAGGGAAGCAGCAGTAGCTGTCGTGGACCAGCCAGAGCGCTTGGGCTGTTAGACAGTACAGAAATTACTTAAACAAATAATAATAAATAATAGCAAGATTGTGAAGAGCAGCAAGGTTTTTCTCACTCTTGTTGAATGCTTCAGCAGGCCTGTCCGGCAATCCATGCCGAACTCACTGTGCTGGATCGGTAATCACAAAAGGCTACCTGGAAAACAGTGTCCCTGAACAAACCATCTTGAACAACCCAGCAACCACCCAAAAGTTCTCAGGGTGCCAGTTATCACAACAGTCCACCAAATGTCTTTGCAATATGATGACGACATCAAACTCTTGCAAGTGCATGTGCACACTTACAGCTGCAGTAGTAAGGGAGAGGAAAATGGGGCAGGGGAGGCAGGGTTGGTGCATGAAAAAGCAGAATGTGTTGGGGTGACATTATCTCTTGCTTAGCTGGACAATCCTTTCACAGCTGAGTGTTCAACTAACCCTTGTTGCTGTTCTGCTTCCATTCAATACTCCCCTAAGTCTCCCACAAGGAGAGACTTCAGAAAGGGGAGCTACTGGCCACCACCTTTTTGTGGCTCCCTGGTACAGCAGTTACTGATATCATTACTTTGGACTTCTTCTTTTTTAACTGCTGAAAGTCTTGGTGCAAGTTTTAAAGCAGGCAAGAATGTAAACCAGGAAGTCACTGCTTCAAATCTCTCCTCTCCCTTAGCTCCGTATCAGTTATAATGGCACACTGAAGTATAAAATTGGCAATATGATACAGCAGAGATGGACAACTTGTGGTCCTCCAAATGCTTTGGCTTCCAACTTCATCACCCCTCACTAATGGGCATTCTTGGCTAGGACTGATGGGAACTGTAGGTCAAACCATCTGCAGGGCCACAAAGTGCCTGCTTCTCATATAGAGCAAGAAGCAAGACAAATACTATTCCAGAGACCACAAAGCAGAACCCACCATTGGCCCTTGCAAGATAGGAGTGTCTCTGATCTGTTTTTCCCCCAGCAAGTAACAAAAAGTCAGGGTTTTTGTTGGTCATAAGTTTTTGACACCTCGGGGTGCAGTGGGGAAAAATACAATGGAAATTTGAAATGATAACTTAGTAACATTCACAGCAACTTCTTGTTATTATTGCAATGGGCTCTGTTCCAGTGTGGATTGACAGAAAAGGCCCCATTTATCTTTGGCACACTATATAGTGCTGCAATATTTGCAAGCCTCTTTCTGAGCAGCAGAAGGGTATACCTTTCCAACTGATGAGTCACCTCTTGGAAAGTTTCTCGTGTTACAAGGTTCTCCTCAATGGGAATCATTTTTTTTTAAGTATCAGATGCAAGGAATATGGAAGGTATCAACTAAACTTCAAATAGAAGAATATGTTTAGTGTACAGAAGGCAAAGGAGAAAAGGCTAGGAGGCAAAGGCTGGGAGGGGGATTTTAAGTGGGTATGTATCCTAAATCAAAGAAATATGAAAAAGCTTGAATAAAATGCCATTTACATGGCATATATTTATTTACTTGTTTGAATCTGTAATCATACTCATTGCCCTTATCATTAAGAATATGAATGGTTAATACTTAAGGTTATTTTTTCTAATTTTTATGTTTATTCAGAATGGTCATTTCACATAACTCCATTTAGAAGGGCAGATGTTGATATTAAGCACAAAAAGTATTAAACGAAATGTTTACTTTTTTAAATAGCCAGAATACTAGCCTTTGAACTTTTCATTCAGAGAGAAATGAAGTAGCTTTCTGAATTTGTGCAAAAGAACATAAAAATCAGTTCCTAAACTGTGAGCTTCTTTCTTGATGTAATCAAAGGTCATTTGGCTGTGGAAACATATCTAGTCAACAAAAGAGTTATATCTGATTGAAGGTGGGAGCTTTGGGATTACATCCTCAGCTAACCAGTTACCTAACCAGTTTGAATGGGATAGATATTGAATAGCTTGGAAGAAAAAATGGAGGGGAAATGTGAGCATTTAAATGTTTTTCTTTGCATGACCCATAAATTACCTAAGTAAACCTCAGTTTGAACTAAGAAGTAAGGAGCTTTTCTTCAATCTCCATTCCAGAGACAAACAAGATGACTTGAAATTGCATTCAGTGAAATGACTGAACTTCATGTTTCCAGGATGCATTAGAGCAGGGGTCTCAAACTCAACTTACCTGGGGGTCGCTGGAAGTAAGAGTCTGGGTGAGGCTGGGCCGCATTGAGTATTCCACCACCGTGGTGGTGGTGGGCTGCTCATCCGGAGGCCGGCCCGCCGCTGGCGCTTTGAAGGCCGCAGGGCCCCTCCCCTGTGCCCTGGCAATTGGCCCGCGGGCCGTGAGTTTGAGACCCCTGCATTAGAGGGTAAAATGTTCCAGAGTGTCTTCCACAATATATACATAGAGGCAGGTCTAATATTAGCTTACGAGCCTTTGCATGTCCACAACAGTATTAGCAGAGGTCCAGAAATTGCATCTTAAAAGTGCCACATGAGAGAATGTCCTCGTGTTCTCAGCCCACTGCATGACCTTTATATCTACGGCCTGAAGTACCACTTTATGGATGAATTCATGAGCCCAATTTATGGATGAATCATTGCACAATAGTCTAGTTCTGCCTTTTACAGATTTTAATTATTACTCTGCTTACCTAATAATGGTTCATTTAAAAAGAGCCATGTTATTTATTGCAGCTTCTTTAATTTTTGTGAAATGCCATGAACCTTGATCATTCCAGTTTTTAAAATTAAGTCTTAGATTTATTTATTTAAAATAAAAACCCAGATACTTTGATTTCTGTGAGCTAGGTTGCTCATACCTCAACATGAGCTGTTTCATATGACCAGTATAGTCAAGCAAAGCAAACTAAGACTCTCTTACCTAGTTTGTGCCCAGTCAACAAGCTAACTTTGCTTTCGTCGGCCACTGGAAGAAAAGGAAACAACAAAGATTAGATATTGCCCTAAAATGAGAAATAATTTGCTGCAGTGGAAGCATTTTACACTAAAGCAAACTACTGCAATTTTAAAACATAGGTGTGAACATTCTTTCATATTATATTGCTGTCCTATATCAACATTTTATTTATTTATTTAGACAGCTTATATGCTGCCCCCATCGCATAAGCCTTGGGGTGGCTTACTATCATAAAATCCCACATATAAATAAAAAAATCATTGAATAAATAAAATACATAAAATAAAATAATGGCAACAGCCTGGTCAGTTTAAAATCAACAAATAAACTTTAACAGTTAAAATGGCGTTTAAACAAAAAGGTCTTGGCCTGGCGCTGAAAAACAAATAACAACAGTGCCAGGCAGACCTCTCTGGGGAGCGCATTCCATAGGTTGGGCGCCACTGCAGAGAAAGCCCTCCTCCAGGTACTTTGCCTCCTAATATCTTTCACAGAGGGTTCCTGGAGGAGGGCCTCTGCTGCCGATCTCAGGGGGTGGGAGAGCAAATAGGGAAGAAGGTGTTCCTTTAGGTATCCAGGTCCCAAGCAGTTCAGGGCTTTGTAGGTGATAACCAGCACTTTGAATTGGGCCCGGACTTCAATCGGGAGCCAGTGGAGCTGACAGAGGACTGGGGTTATATGAGAACAACACCCAGTCCCTGTCAGCAGCCTGGCAGCTCTATTTTGCACCAATTGAAGTATCTGGACTGTCTTCAAGGGCAGCCCCACGTAGAGTGTGTTACAGAAGTCTAATCGGTAAGTGACCAATGCGTGTGTCACTGTTGCCAGGCAATCATCCTCCAGGTAGGGACGCAGCTGATGGATCAGCTGAAGCTGAAGGAAAGCACTCCTCGCCACCGCTCTCACTTGACCTTCCAACGATAGCTCTGGGTCGAGGAGCACTACCAAGCTGCGGACCCTGTCCTTAAGAGGGAGTGCAACCCCATTCAGCACAAGGTCAAAGTCCCCCATCCCAAAGTCCGATCCACCTACCAACAGGACCTCTGTCTTGTCTGGACTGAGCTTCAGTTTATTGGCCCTCATTCAGCCCATTACCTCGGCCAGGCACTGGTTCAGTACAGCCACTGCCTCACCTGGATTGGTAGAGAACGAGAGGTAGAGCTGGGTATCATCAGCGTACTGATGATTCTGCAGCCCACACCTCCTAATGACCTTTCCCAGCGGTTTCATGTAGATGTTAAATAGCATGGGGGACAAAATGGACCCCTGCAGAACTCCATGGCATAGCTGCCATGGCGCAGAGCCATAGTCCCCCAGCACCACCTTCTGGAGTTGGCCATTGAGATAGGAGCGGAACCACTGCAGAACAGTGCACCCAACCCCCAATTTAGCTAGCCTATCCAGAAGGATACCATGGTCAATGGTATCAAAAGCCACTGAGAGTTCCAGGAGAACCAACAGGGACGCACTCCCCATCTTTCTCCCTGCACAGGTCATTGTACAGGGTGACCAAGGCAGATTCAGTACCATACCCGGGTCTGAAGCTGGACTGAAATTGGTCCAGATACTCAGTTTCCTCCAAGAGTGCTTGGAGTTGTCCCACCACCACCCGCTCTAATACCTGGCCCAGAAACGGGATGTTGGCCACTGGTCTATAATTGGTGGCCACCTCTGGATCCAGGGAAGCCTTCTTTAGGACAGGCCGGACTACCGCCTCCTTTAAAGGGGCAGGTACCCAGCCCTCCCTCAGAGAGGCGATGACAACCTCCAGGATCCAGGTCCCTATCCTGTCCTTGGCTTTACGAAGTACCTGGAACTTCTGAATAATCAAAATAAGAAAAAAAATCCCAAGATTAAAGGAAACACAGTCATCATAACATACCATTTGAACAGGTACACTTACATCACAGGTAACATGCCAAAAACACAAGACATGGACAGGGTTCCAGTGACCCACGCTCACTGTGGATTATTAAACTTGCAGCCTGCAGCTGCCGGGTTGCAGTCAAATTCCCGCTTCAGATTGACATATCGTGAAAACCCAGTAGCTCCTCACACTACCCTAAATCAGATGTTGTACCCTTGCATAATCCATGTTCACCAGATTCTCTCAACACAACCACTGAGCATGACCACAGATTCAAGCTGCTTGCAAACAGATCCACAAACATTTTGGTTTATGTCATCTCTACCTACCTATAATATTTCTTGAGACCAAACTAAACATTATGCTTGCCATGTGGTTTGACTTTGGGATTCTGCTTTCCTAGCAAATAGCTAGCATGAAAGGCCTGAGCCAGACTGGAAGCATGGCACGAGAGGAAAGTTCCTGCTGGCGACAAAGTTCTAGGCCTTTCCTAGGAACTAGTGTATTTGATCCAGAGAAATCCCATGTGGAACATAAGCAACTGCAAGCATTTGTTTGACATCATTAACACAGAGCTGATTAATATTCAGAGGAAACACAGGGAGGAGGCTGGTTGAAAACAGAATTAGTCAAGCCTCCAAGAATATGCCATCCACAAACACCCCAGAACAAAAAGCTTTTAACATGATAAATTTGGCAGGTCAAGATTTATTTGTTACATTTGAGATGGCCAAAGTCTAGCTACTCCGAACAACAAGCATCTTTTTTTATCTCTGTCTCAGCTTATGTTTGGGGCGTTTGAGAGAAAGAAGCTAAGTTTAGATGAGGCTATAACACAACATATTTAAACAAGCTGCAACACAATGAAAAATATCTACCAAAAACCTCAATAAAGTTCATAAGTAGTACGCCTAGCCAAAAAAAAAGAAAATATTCTAAAAAGCAAATTAATCAGCCAAGATCCTATTTCCAAACACAAAAATTTCTTTCATGCTTTTAAGAATCTAAATAAATTACTTTCCCTGACCTAAACATATTTGCAGGCATGTGTGTGTGAGAGAGTACATGGGGGGGATCAGTCACTAGCTCTCCAGATGGATATTATCCTTACACAGCCCTTTCAGCATAATAAAGATATAGCACCATCAATTCATTTTAAGTCAATCATTGTGCCAATAACACAACTACATCAGCTCTTATTTCTCCACTGCAGTGTTTCCTCATCTAGGCAACGCTGAATATACTCACAGAGAACATGCCAAATTTTGGCATGAAACAATCCTTTGCATGCATTTTTAGGACCTTTATTTTTGAGTGAAAGTTCCTTCTATTGAAAGTGGAATTTTATTTTTGAGGCGGTTAACTATCTTTGCAGTTATATGCTAAAGAAAATAAGTATAAACCTTGGATAATTTCCCCAGTACAGTGCAGTCTTCATTCATAACACTCAAGGCACAGATTTTGAAATTTAAATGATGAATACAATGGGGACAAAAGTTTCTATTCAACCTGCTTTCTAAGTTAGATGGTCACAGTCATAGGGATAATACAGCATCATATCTGTTTTACTTTTTAAAAGCTTAACAAAAACTGCCAGACTAATTTCATTTTGTGTGTAGCAACACGTTAATTTTTTTTCCTGCTATTAACAGATGAATGAAGAGAAGGTGAATGTATACATACAAACCTCAGGTACACACTAGTCCTATTACTACTACTACTACTACTACTACTGCTACATTACATTTATATCCCACCTTTTCCACCTCTTGTTAGAAACCCAAGGTGGTTTGCATAGCTCCATTTATCCTCACAACAACAACCCTGTGAGGTAGGCTAGGCTGAGATTCTGTAACTGGCTCCAAGATAGTCAGTGAGCTTCATGGTCAAGCAGGGACTAGGAATCTGGATCTTCTGTGTCCCCAGTGCAGCATTTTAACCATCACACCACACTGGTCCTAATCCAGAGAACTCCCATTGTGTTTATACACAGGTCTGATTCAGATACAATGCTAAACCCTGTTCTGTCATTATATGCATGATATTGTATGCTCCTCTCTCAGCTCTCCTCCTCCACACATGCAGGAAGATCAGATGTTCCTGCCCCTGTCTCTATGCAACAGTTGTTCCCCATGATGTCTGCACCTGGAGAACCGTGGTTTGTTCTCCAATACTTTGTTAAAACAAAGCAGGATCAAACCTTGATATTTATGTCTCACGTTTGTCCCGAGTTGTTTAAACTAATCATAGTTTACAGGAAATCATAGTTCTGACTCCAGATGTCTCTGATGTGGTCAGTTTGGAAGCAAAAGTAGAAGCATCGACCTGTCCTCATGTGAAAAGAAGAAGAAAGAAGTGTATTTACCAGACACTCATTCTCATCACACTAAATTCAGCATTATGTCTACACAGGGTTACATGCTTGCCTGTAGTTTTGTATTTTGAAGGAGAATGACTGTGTATTGTATCACACAATTTGTTTCTCTCTCCAGCTCACTCAAGCTATAACTTATGTTGTAGCCAAGGAAACTGCTTTAAAAAGAGAAAGGCACAAAGACACAATTACATGAATTATAGCCCTTTTGCTGTTCCACAACTGCATTTAGTTCTAGATTGCAAAGCAAAGTCTTCTAAGTGCATCTCAGATAGTTTAACAGCACTTGGCAAGAAACTACATGGAAATAGATGACAAAAAACTTGGGAATAAATTTTAAATGGCTTACAGCAAAAACAATATGCTGACAAACTCAACTTCATACTTCACGAAGAATTTTTTTCTTTATTTCTTCCTGACTTGGGCTGCAAACAGTATTGTTGTCATTGAGATAATGCAAATTGTTCTCTTTCTCTTTATAGCACCTCCAACTCTCATGCCTAAGTAATGCACTGTTAATAATCATAGCTTATTTTACACCTTTGTTACTGCACCTCCTCTCCCACATGCTAAATGAAGCAGAATAATCCCTCTGCAATGAAATACTGTAAAACATTAATAATCTAAATCCTTATTGAACTCACTGTGTGCCATTATCACTTCTGCTCAGTCTCCTTTGTGTAAGAGCCACCATTTTGCCCTCAAACTTCTCACTGAGCAGAGTTTAGGAAAGAATACTCTTAACATTGGCCTGAATATTCAGCACTA